AGACTGGCTACCCACTCCAGTAATCCTGCCTGGAGTATCCCGTAGACAAAGAAGCCCGGCAGGCTACAGTCCATGGGGTCGCAAAAGAGTCGGATGTGACTGAGCAGCTAACACTATTACATCTACTATATCAGCAGTGTATGAGGGTTCCCTTTTTCCACACACTCTCCAGCATTTACTATTTACAGAATTTTTGATGCTAGCTATTCGGACTGGTGTGAGGTGATACCCTGTTGTGATTTTGATTTTCATTTCTCTAATAATCAGCAGTGTTGAGCGTCTTTTGCTTGCCTGTTGGCCAACTGTTTATCTTCTTTGGAGAAATGTCTGTTTAGGTCTTCTGCCCATTTTCTAATTGGGTTGATGTTTTTTATATTGAGTTGTACAAGCTATTTGTACATTTTGGAAGTTAACGCCTTGTCTGTTGCATCGTTTGCAAGTATTTTCTACCAATCTGTAGGTTGTGTTTTTGTTTTGTTGATGGTTTCCTTTGCTGTGCAGAAACTTTAAAGTTTAATTGTTGTTCAGTCACTAAGTTACATCCTACTCTTTGCCATCGCAGGGACTGTAGCCTACCAGGCTCCTCTGTCCATGGGGTTTTTCCAGGCAAGAATACTGGAGTAGGGTTGCCGTTGCCCTTTTCTTCTCCAGCAGTATCTTCCCAGACCAGGGATCAAACCCACAGCTCCTGCATTGGCAGGTGAATTCTTTACTAGTGAGCCACCAACCTAGCCCATTAAGTTTGATTCAGTTCAGTTCAGTCGCTCAGTCGTGTCTGTCCCACTTATTTTTGCTTTTATTTCTTTTGCCTTAGCAGACTGATCTAAGAAAACATTGCTACAGTTTGTCCCAGAGAATGTTTTGCTTATGTTCTCTCCTAGGAATTTAATGGTGTCATGTCTTAAATTTATAATTAAACCAATTTGAGTGTAATTTTGTATATGGTGTAAGGGAATGTTCTAATTTCTTTGATTTATATGTAGCTGTCTGGCTTTCCCAACACTACTTGTTGAAGAGACTGTCTTTTCTCCATTGTATATTCTTGCCTTCTTTGTCATAGATTAGATAACTGTAAGTGCATGGGTTCAATAAACTTTTAAGATAATAAATGCTTCTTACCCAAAAGAATACTTGCTCCCCAGTTGTAAGTTAATGAATAAACCTAGTTCTTCATTATAAAAATTATTTAAATAATAGTGGTTTGAATATAGAAACCTCACAATGAAAATAAAAACAACTCTGCAGTAGAACCTTACTTCTACCTACATCACTGTTTCCATGGAAAAAATGTATTCCACATTCCAATTAAGATGCTATGGTCCTTCTCCTTCCTGAGTTTTTAGTTCCAATGATGACCAATCCACCACACGCACCTACAGTGTAGGACTTCCATTTTCCCCTCTAATCTCGTTCTGGGAGCAGAGCTTAAGAGTTGGATTCAGAGGGTATAAAGGAAAGAACAGGGTTGCAGCTTTTAAAAGAGAGTACTTGGGGCTTCTGCTGGGAAGATATTTTTCAAATGACTCTCATGAGTAACCCTGATCATAAGGAAAGGAAGGGATGATTGTCAGTATAGCTCCAAACTTGGCAAAAGCAAAGTGATCCCCCTGCAACAGAATTTTGGACCATGTGGTTCTTTGATCTGATCCATAAGGGCGTTTCCTACCCTTCTTAAGAATCTGAAAGATATTATTAGTGGTGTTAAAAATGCAGATGCTGATCTTCGCAATAATGAGCTGTGGTAGGACGTCTCTGATCAAGAGGATTAATACCTGAAGTTTATATTAACTAAGCAGTATTATTTGTGCCCTGTGTTTTCCCACAGCATTACCATACTCTGTGATATTTAACAGATGTATATGTTTTATGTTCATTTGTATTCAGTTAATGATTAAAAATTCAAGGTGAAAAGGTAATCACATAGGAAAATATGTGATGGTATGCTAAAACCTTTATGGAACTTAATAATGAGCCTCAGAGGTTTCTTTTAAACAACAGGCTTCCTGGGGTGGGATGAGATCTGCTGTCTTTCTTGTTAGTGTTCCCAAGTTTACTCTTTTTAAAAATAATTGTTTGCTTTTATAATGTTTAAAATTTTAATACTTTAAAGGTTTATTTCCATTTACAGTTATTGGAAAATATTGGCTATATTCCCAGTGTTGTACAATACATCCTTGAGCCTATCTTACGTCCAATAGTTTGTACCAACAACTCCCCCACTCTATATTGTCCCCTGTAGCTAGTAACCACTAGTTTGTTCTCTGTGTCTTCCTTTTTTTTTATATTCACTAGTTTATTGTTGTTGTTTTTTTTTATTCCACATGTAAGTGATATATAGTATTTGTCTTTCTCTGACTTACTTCACTTAGCATAGCAAGTTTGTCCATGTTGCTGCAAAAGGTAGAATTTCATTATTTTTAATGGCTGAGTAGTTTTCATTGGATATATATACCACATCTTCTTTATCCATTTATCTGTTGATGGACACTTAGGTTGCTTCCTTATCTTGGCTATTGTAAATAATGCTGCTGGGTACATTGGGGTGCATGTATCTTTCCAAATTAGCATTTTTGGTTTTTTCAGATATATACCCAGAAGTGGAATTGCTGGGTCATATAGTAGTTCTATGTTTAATTTTTTTTGAGAAACCTCCATACTATTTTTCCACAGTAGCTGCACCAGTTTACATTCCCACCAACAGTGTATGAGGGTTCCCTTTTCTCTGCATCCTGGCCGACATTTGCCATTTGTGTTCTTTTTAATAATAGCCATTTGGACAGGTGTGAGGTGATATCTTCTTGTGATTTTTGATTAGCATTTTCCTGATGATTAGTGATGTTGAGCATCTTTTCATGTGCCTATCGGACATCTGCATTTCCTCTTTGGAAAAATGCGTATTTGATTCTTCTGCCTATTTTTTTAAATTGAAGTGTTTGTTTTTTCGATGTTGAGTTGTATGAACTATTTCTATATGTTGGATATTAATTTTTTACCAGACATATTATTTGCAAAGATTTTCTCCCATTCAGTAAGTTTTCTTTTTGTTTTGTTAATGGTTTCCTTTGCTGGGCAAGAGCTTTTAATTAGGTCCAAGTTTAATCTTTAAATGAAACGTAAGGGACTAGGTATTAAATATGTTTTATTTCAACTTTAAAAATTAAGCTGTTTTTTATTCTTAATAAAAATTATTTAAATATATTAGTGTAATACAATAATATTAGTGTTTGACTACTTTTCATCTTAATTTACCCCAAAAACAAATAGTGCCTATTCTATTTTTAGGAAATAGAGTGCCTACCAGAGAAAGAACTCAATCTTATTTAAGTCAGAACTCTTAGGTTTTCTTTCTGTAAGTGGTCTCTAAATAGATTAGGGATAAGCTAAGCTAAGCTAAGTCACTTCAGTCGTGTCCGAACCTGTGCGACCCCACAGAAAACCTCTTGTTTGACATCTGGTCTGTACACCAGCCTGTATAATGCTCCAGGAAGTCTAGCTGCAAAGGAACTTTTCAGGCTTTATCTGCTGGAATTCTTACATTCCCTTGGCTTTGGAACCCTATCTCCCCAGAAATTTCAACATCTTACATTCCTTTGTAAGCGAGGGAACACAGCTATGGGAATCAGCTTGTTGCAGGCAAATGGCCCTTTCTCTGGGCAGAAAAGGGATTTGTGAAGCCACCTTGGCTGCTGTGGAGACAGAGAGCTGAAGCAGCATAATGGGAACCTCAGGTCTTTCTTCCGCTTGTTTTCAGGACGACACAAAATATTTTGTACCTTCTCTAGAAAAAGTATAGGTTTATACTCTTTCATTTCACATGTGTTCTGACTCTACCTGGGTGACCAGGTGACCTAGAACTGTCTTAGGTCCCGTAAGAGAATGTGCAAGGACTAAATTAATATTTTGCAGGAAAAGTTTTATTGTTTTTTAAATAAGTTTTTTGATAAGTAATTAATCCTGAAATGCCAGTGCCATTGTAAACCATTAAACAAATTTAAATGTTTTCTTTAATTAAATCAATCTTTATTACATCTCATAAACTTTAACATTCTTTTTTAAAACCAGCAAAGAAATAGGAAGATGACAGGACAGTGGGCAAACAAATTGTAGACTGACTAAGGATTTTTATTAAACACAGGAATGGTTGAGTTTTTAAAAACCCATAGGAAAAAGAATTGCATGTGATTGATTTTTAGTAGGGTAGTAATAACTTTCTAATCAACAGAAGAAATCAAGGCATTTGATTTGACCGTATGAGAATGTAAATTTTTCTGTTTCACTATATTTATGCAGCTAAATAAAATATCAAACACTAGGGAAACACAAGTAAAACAAGAAGAAGGTTAAGGTTTACATTATTGGAATAACTCTTTAATTTAAGGCAATTATCTAACTCTTGTTAAATAAATAGGAAGAGGACAAGTAGCTCATACACGGGAAAGTTCAGTCAAAGAAGGATTACATAACCTCAGGAAGATATCTTTACAAATGTTGGCAAGGCTGCAGAAGCTGGTTTAATTATTTATTATTTCTAAAATGACCAGAAAAAGCTTTTCTCTTTTTCTTAACCTCAGAAATTATCCTAATGAAATTTTTTTTTAAATTAATAGTTTGTAAGTTGAGCAAAAGGGCTTAAGCAAGTATGATTTCTTATAGTCAATGGAGAGTGATGTTACAAGTAATATTCTAATTGTGAAGATAGTAGTACCATGAGATGTCATGAAAGGTGGCCATAGTTGCATTTACACTGCTCAATTCAGTTCAGTTCTGTGAATAAGTAAGCCCATGGTCATTAATGGTGGTAGGACTGTGCTGTATTAAAATTTGTTTTGGTAGCATTTACTGATTAGAAGAAATGTTAAGATTTGTTTTCTTAACAGTGTTTTTTTCCTCTTTTTAGCTGACTACACAGTCTCTGCCTTTTCCGTGTTTTCGTGGCCAGAGACATGACCTGACACCTTGATGACCAGTCTCAGGGCCCTCGGGTGACTGGCTGGGGCACCATGGAACTTAAAGTATGGGTGGACGGAGTTCAGAGGATTGTTTGTGGGGTCACCGAGGTCACAACTTGCCAGGAGGTTGTCATAGCCTTAGCTCAAGCAATAGGTAAGTGAACTCTCAGGGTGTCTGAGATAGACAGTTTATACCTATGCTCTCTGTTGTTGTTTCTTTTCGTTTGTTTTATGTATAGGAGTTGCATGGGTTTTGTTCATTTGGTTCCATAATACATGTCTTAGGTGCACTTTTAACTTATTGCTGTCCCCCACGCCCAGCTTAGGTCAATCTGTGAAGACACTTTTCTCTGCCTCTCCTAGATTTTACTGATCTTGAGTCTAGAGTCTGCACTGCCTTTTCTTCTCCTGATGTTTATCCTAAACAACAGTTTATGGAACTGAAAATGTTTTCTTGAGCCAAAACATGACTTTCAAGTTCCCAGACCCTTAATTAGGGAAAATCCAATTTACTTATTATTCTGAATACTTTTAGAAAAGAAAATACAACAAATTAAATGACATATTTCTTCCTGTAAAAAGTACAGAAAGATAGCATGCACTTTTTAAATTTTATACAGTGAAGGTGAAGTTGTCAAATCCATGGTTGCTGGCTCCATCTTAGCCACTTACCCTGCTGCAACTTTTCTTCTTATTTATTCTCAATTCATCTTTATCATATTTTATATGTATTTTTTAGTTGCTGTAATTCCTTTTGGAACATGATGAATGGATAAACACCTATACCAGTAAAGCCAGTGATGTGGGCTAAAGTTTGTATTTGTGTCTTAAATCCATCACTTAGCAAACATGTAGAGTTGACCCTTGAACAGCACAGGTTTTAACTGTGAGGTCCACTTACATGTGGTTTTTTTCCCAGTAGTAAATCCTGCTCTACTACACAGTTCAAGGTTAGTTGAATCCATGAATGTGGAGAATCTGCAGCTAGAGGGGCCAGCTGACTGTAAGTTACATGCAGATTTTCAGCTGCATGAAGAGTTGGTGCCCCAACCCCTGCATTGTTCTCCTTGCTAGGTATCATGCTAGTTTTTACTGAAAGCATGTCGTGCTAGCTCAGGCTGAAGACAGGCCACTGTTGCTATGGCACCTTTGCATCTGGTAGAGGTGACTATAGCCCAGCATTGTGGCAGAGGCACTGTTAGAAGTTGTAGTGTCGCTATGCAAAGACAGAGGCTTTCCTTTAATGCTGACGCCTTTTGATTTTTCCTGAAACACTCTATAGCACACTCATATATTAAAACAATGCTGAGAGTGCTAGGCTTTCACATCCCTTGAAATTTTCTTACATTTGGCACTATTATTATGTTTGTGGACATAAATTTAGTTATTAGAGAGCAGAAAATTAAGGCATTTAATTTTATCTCATATTCTTTCAACTTAGTCATCACCCCCTTTAAAAGCCTCACATAATTTATTTGTAATAAATGTTTAGTATTGTTGGTTTATTATCTTTCTTAGTGAAAACTGGAATTAGCAAGTATCAAATCTAACGTTCTTTTGTTATATTTGAGAATCAAGCCATGGACAGTGGTTAAAAAACAAGGACAAGTAGTTTTTAGAAAAGTCAGAGTAGTTGAAGACTATAATAAGCTGCCTTTGTTCAAACGGTAACCATGTTCTCTACATAGAATTTCAAGGGGAAACTGTCCAGATGTGCCAGGTGTGTGTTTATCCGTTTGGACTAAAAAGGATACTTGTTTGTGGACAAGCTAAGAAGAAGCTTTAACTGAACCTAACCCCCAATTTTGCTTCCTCAGTAACTCAGTCCAGAACTGTTTTGAAAAGTTGACAACTTGAGTACAAGATACGTTATGACATTTTTCCATACCTGGCTAAGCAACTCTTTTTCTGATTCATAAATACTTCATTGAATTTAGAATTCACCTGAGGGATGATTCAACTGTTGATCCCTGCTTCTGTTGTGCCATGAGATTTTCTCAGCCTCATGTTCAGTATGCTTCTGATACACACTTATATATTTATCTCCCTTGTCATGAGAGTTATTGATACTCCAAGTCTAAACATTAAATGAAAATGTTACTGTGTTTTGACCTATTTCTACTGTAAAAAATAATAGAGGACTTATTAATTAGGGAAATTTCTGCTATAACAAACACCTGGAGAAATCTCTGTGGCTTCACATAGTAAAAGTTTAGTTACACTAATAGCAGCATATGGACTGAGCAAAACTGCAGATGTTTCTAAAAAATTTACAGTGAAGCAACCTATAGAATAGCTTCTTGGGTTTAAGTCCACTTATTTTCCTCATATAGGGGCACTATACATATGATTAGGGATTATTGAGTTTTTCTGAATAGCTAAAATTGCTTTCAGGAAACAATCAGGATATAAAAACATGTACACAAGTTGGCAATCTGCAAATATATATGATAGCTAACAGTTTCTGACTCAATGTCATTAATACTGATCGATCAAATTAAGTTAGAAAAGAGCTTAAGACAAACCATAATTTGATATAAAAGTTTTTAAAATATTTATTTGGCTGCATCGGGTCTTGGTTGCTGCAGGCAAGACCTTTCTTTGCAGCACGCAGGCTCCAAGTGCAAGACTTCAGTAGTTGGAATGCATGGGCTTAGTTGCCCACAGCACATGGGCTTCTAATTCCCTGACCAGGGATCGAACCCATGGCCCCTCCATTGGAAGGCAAACTCCCAACCAATGGACCACTAGAGAAGTCCCTTGGTAAAAGATTTTTAAATGTTATCTACTAGTATAGATGAAAATCCTTTCTACTCTGATATTTGACTGCTTGACAGGTTATCTTTGGGTGGTAGAAATCAAACACTTTCTAAAATTATAAGACAGTAGCTAAAAGTGAGACCAGGATGACACAGTTAATTGGCGTGAAGTGATTAAACTGCCCAGCAGGAGTGCACTGTGTTTGGTCACTGTACACCCTAGGCTTTCTGAAACATTCCCAGTTATAAATATTCAACCTTGGTTTTCCCATAAGCTATCCCAGAAATGCCATTATTTCAGAGTTCAGACTGCTTCTCAAAACTGTACATGAAACAGAAAACCTTTGACGACTCATCTGTCGCAAGTTATAGTTGAGAAAATGCATTTGCTTTGATACAATCACAAACAAAAAATATGTAAAGAAGATACTTCTGCCCTCAAGTAGTTTAGAACTTAAAGTACAGCTTACAAAAGATTAGAGAGGAAGAGAAGAGGAAGAAACCAAGGAGACGAAGGGAAAGGTTTTTTGATTCATACTGCTTTATGGCCTGGTGCCAGTGAAAGTACTGAAGATTCAGAGTTTTTCTCTGTTCCCACTTCTGTCCTCATATCTTTTTCATTTGGGGACAGTCAAAGTGAAAGTTGCTCAGTCATGTCTGACTCTTTGCGACCCCTTGGACTATACAGTCCATGGGATTCTCCAGGCCGGAGTACTGGAGTGGGTAGGCTTTCCCTTCTCCACGGGATCTTCCCAACTCAGGGATTGAACCCAGTTCTCCCGCATCACAGGCAGATTCTTTACCAGCTGAGCCACAAGAGAAGCCCTTGTGGGCCAGAGCGAGCATTTAATAGAAACAAATTGATCGGAGCTGGGGGCACAAGGTGGCATGGATTGTTCTAAGAAGCCACATTTCTTAGAGTTTGCCCCAACAGAATCAGTTCTCAAACAAACACCTGTTATACTGAACTCTAGTTTTACTGTTTGTTAATATTTCTTTCTCTTCTCTGAAAGTTCCTTCATAGTGTGGAGGTCCTGCTTTTTTTTCTTATACCATTGCCTTTCCTGAAGCAGGTGCTCAATAAAACAGTTTCTGGAACTGCAGTGCCCCATAGACCTTTCTGCAAGGATGGTGATGTTCTGTGCCTGTGTGTCCAGTGTGGTAGCCTTGAGGCAGTGTAGCTATTAACGTATTTGAAGTGTGGCTAGTGTAACTGAGGAATTGAATGTTTAATTAAAAGTTTAAATGTGACTAGTGGCTACTAGCTATTGTAGTAATATGCCTGATTGCTATCTAGACTTAAAATGTCAAAACCCAAGCTTTGTGTCCCAGCTATTGCCCATCCTCAGATTTCCTCCTTCTCATCTCCACACATAAGGACGCTGGCTTTTTTTTTTCCAAACAAAAAATTTTAATTGTAATATTAAAGGATGAGCTAAAGGAGGAGCAAGGGGAAGAAAGAAAAACAGGAAGAAGTAAAGATAAAATGTGCCTCAGCCAGCAGGCCCTCCTATATCCCATCCCACCTCAGACTCCCGGCCCAGCCCCGAAGACCAGAAAGGGGCTCTCTGCAGAACTCCGGAAAAGGTCTCACAGACCTGCTGCCTCACGACCTCCACTTCTTCCCCCACCTTACAGGTCCTGCCTTCACTGTGATGGGGCCAAAGGAGCCCAGGGGCCTCCTCAGTTCAGTTCAGTCGCTCAGTCATGTCTGACTCTTTACAACCCCATGAACCGCAGCACGCCAAGCCTCCATATCCATCACCAGCTCCCGGAGTTTACCCAAACTCAAGTCGGTGATGCCATTCAGCCATCTCATCTTCTTTCGTCCCCTTCTCCTCCTGCCTTCAATCTTTCCCAGCATCAGGGTCTTTTGAAATGAGTCAGCTCTTTGCATCAGGTGGCCAAAGGATTGGAGTTTCAGCTTCAACATCAGTCCTTCCAATGAACACCCAGGACTGATCTCCTGTAAGATGGACTGGTTGGATCTCCTTGCAGTCCAAGGGACTCCCAAGAGTCTTCTCCAACACCACAGTTCAAAAGCATCAATTCTTTGGCACTCATCTTTCCTTATAGTCCAACTCTCACATCCATACATGACTACTGGAAGAACTATAGCCTTGACTAGACAGACCTTTGTTGACAAAGTAATGTCTCTGCTTTTTAATATGCTGTCTAGGTTGGTCATAACTTTCCTTCCAAGGAGTAAGCATCTTTTAATTTCTTGGCTGCAATCACCATCTGCAGTGATTTTGGAGCCCAGAAAAATAAAGTCTGACACTGTTTCCACTGTTCCCCCACATATTTGCCATGAAGTGATGGGACTGGAAGCCATGATCTTAGTTTTCTGAATGTTGAGCTTTAAGCCAACTTTTTCACTCTCCTCTTTCACTTT